ATAAAAAGCTAGTGCTTGCCATTAGGATAAAAAAATTGCTTCTTTTTTTCTTTCCACTATATGTAGCAGGAAATCAAATGCATGCAACCCCCTGCCATATTACATCTTCCCTTTTAACATTCTGTTTCAGTTCTGAAAGAATTAATAAAATAAAATTAAATATCTAGATAGAAATAGATTTTGTTGATAAAAATTTCCAAAGATTAGGTTCTAAATTCTTACCAAAAATTTGAAAATTTGCATTAGCAATAAGCTGCCTACTTGGAAAACAAAAAAAAATAAGTTCATTTGTTGATTGTTTTAATGCTGAAATACAAAGAAACATAATAAAACAAAAAAGCATAATATTAAATGATCTATTTATTCTCTGTTTTCACAAATTAACATTTTTGAAACTATTTCTACATGCAAAATGTTTTCTGCTAAAATATACTCATGGATTATATTATTTGCCCAGATGTACACCACTTACATCTTTACTAATGCATTTACATTAGTTTTGGCAAAAGCATAAACAGTTGTTGGTATGTATAAATTTCTAGTAGACCCAGGATGAAATGCCATTATGAGACCTACAAATTCAGATAGCTATAAGAGAAAATTTGTCATTACTCTGGGTATCAAAAGTAAATTATAAATCAATCACATCATGCTGAAAATACAAGGAAAGTTCTGCAACTAGAAATATAATAAATGACACCTCGATGCATAATTAGCAACGATGCTGAATATGAAGGCCTATGTGGCAATGTCATTGTTTAGAAAGTGCACACACTAGGCTAGAACATGAATTGGAACATAAATAAAAAGAACATACACAAAAAATAAGAATACAACAAGTGCAATATACTTAATACCTTCACTGCTGGGTCAAGACGAGAACCCAATTTTCACAGGCAGGGAAATCAAGCCCATACCCTTGGTTTCAGGCTATAGTATATCATACAGGATATCAAGCAACTGCTTATTGCCTCCCACAATAATATAAGGTCTTCTGCTTAAATTTTCCAAAACTACCTTCATACACAAATTTCCATGTGAAAAAGGTTCACTGTTCTATGCAATATGGGAAAAGAATGAAAACATGCATAGCCATATTTACTGGAATTAAGCAAAAATATTACACAGCAATAGGTGTTCAACGGTCATGGATCTGACCATTGGTAGATTACTAAGGTATACAGCCATTAGTTACTTTTATTATTTTTTCACTCAAATTTCCAGCCATTCTTAATCTTAATTAATTCAAGTTTAGGGGACACGATGTGCTACTCTACCTTAGTTGTCAAATTACATAAAAATATTTTTCCAACTTAATAATTTCATACAAAAACAAAATTACAATCTAACATTATGTCTAATACCTGTGTAACTGAGTGTGATACATTTGTTAGTGTAACACAAGGAATTTGGCTGTTTTCATTTTGAATGCCGCTCTGTCAAGATTATGTTAATCTAACACAACTTTATTCAAGCACATTTACCCTTCAACCCTTTAAAGGGCACTGGTACATTGCCAATTTTTTAACCTCCTAAAAGATGCTAGTTTTTCTACAACAAAAGCTGTAATCATAAGTTTTTTTCTAGTGTTTCCTTTTGATTCTAAATGGCAGCACTATCCTATGAATGCTCAATATTTTGAAGTTATGAAATTAACATACCTCATTCCAAGGTATCATGTTTCAAGATTCTTAAATTCTAGTGGAGGGGAAGAAAACATTCAAAATCTGCAAATATAGGACATACACATGCTGAATCTTATATATTTACTACTTCATTTCAATCAGAAGTAATAATTAACAGAAAACCAATTTATATGATTTTAAGACCGGTATATAATATATACTGATGCCCATACTGAGGGTACCAGTCTTCTTTTCTACGCTGCGAGACGGCAGAATTTCTCGATATTATAACAGTTTATGATGTAATCATTTTTATGATTAATTTACAAGTTGTTTAGGATTCAATGTTATGTTTATGGGAGATGGAGAATTACAAACCCTGCGATAGGAGTAAATACAAATATATTAGTTTCCTTTTATTCTTTGTTTACTCCATTCGAGTTTCATTCATCTCTGTTTAGCTAAAAATTTAATTTCAGCCCTTCACCTTTTCCCAGGAGAAAGACTCATTGATTTCAATATTGTCGCCTTATGTCAAAATATCACACAATTCTAGGGGTTAAATGTGGCATGTTAGCCCCAAAAGATGCCCATTGCTTCATGCTTTCCAAAATCCTGGAATGCAGCGAATATGAAAAAAGACAATTGACAACTAATTTGTCAATCGCCCTTTGTGTAAATGCCTTCTTTCCCTTTGTGTGGTCTTATGCACTTTAGATCCATCTCTTAGTGTAATGGAAAAACTTCTGTTTTGAAAGCATGCTTTTATTCTTTAGGGTATTGTCTTTGTTAATTTCAGATGAGAGACTAGAGAACCCAAGAGAAATTTTCTCTCTGGGTTAGAATACAAATAGGTGGTTTTCGAAATAAATTTTCACAGTTGGTGAAAGGAGGGAAAATATTTTTAAGGCCAATTTCAGATGCAGACCAAAATTTAACCAAAAGAGTTGAAAAGGGGCATCTAGGTGGCCAAAGGGATTGAAAATCAAAATAAGAGCTTTAAGGTGTATCAAAAAATAAAATCGTTTAACGGTGTTTCTTCCTGAACAACCTATATTTACAAAAAATAAAAAATATGATGAGTGCACCACATGACTTCCTTGTACGGAATATTAAATTATACCCATTTTTTCTTGCATTTCATTTAAACTTATTGGATTGAATTAAACCTACTTCGGCGATATCGCATAAACCACAATAGAATAAATGCACTCTTTAAAATTCACTATATGTCTTTACCATAGCGACACTCTGGCGCTAGGTACACTTAACAGCATTATATTTCATCCATATTATAACTCAATGAACAAAATTTATATCATTTGAAGAATTATCTAATTGTTGCCAATACGCTTTATTCAAATACTATAATAAATCTAAAACGATGTATAAAAGAAATTAAGCAAACAAAACAAAAAAAGAAACAGTTTTTCACAGACGATTGAGTATTTCTCATTCAATTAATTTCAGTTCTCACTTCATGACAGAAGGCAAAAATACATAAAAACTCAAAATATCTATATTGAAAAATTACGAAGTAAATCTTAAACACTTATTTCCTCGAAAAAATTACCAGAAAGGATTAAGCATGATTTATTCGTAATAATAAATGAAGATGTTATCTTTGTTATTGCGAAGCTTACTTTCTCTAGATTGGCAACAAATCTACTATTCTGCTCTTTCAAATGCAAACAAGCAGTGCCGCCATGGAAAAAACTATTACGCTTAGCGGCACTTAAACAACTTTTAAATTGTTGATAATTCTAAAAATATTGCAGGCAGATATACTAAAGACATAAAAACCTTGACCGGAAGATAAGAACAACATAATTCAATCATTTTTAAAGCAAAAAATGCACAATTTACAAACATATAAGAATAAAGAAACTGAGATCACTCAGCCGAGTAACAGATTGGATATATTTATATACTTTTGGTGCAGCTAATTGCAACCAAAATACGAGGTGCACATTTACACGTTATAGCAGTCCTATATACAAAATTTTAACGTTCTAAGGCTACTCGTTTTTGAGTTATGCAAGGTACACACGCAGAGACGCCACAAAAAATTTCCTTCAGAATTCATTTTAAATTATTTTTACAATTTTTTTTGGGGGGGAAAAGAGTCTTTTATCCAGTCTTTATGGACAAATGTCACACAAAAACATCCTTAAATTCATTCGATAGTGGTGAAAATGGATATTTGCATTGAAATATGATGCCTGAAACTTTTCACGATTACAATACTTCCTTTTACTTCATACAAGGAAGTAAAAAGGGGCCCTTATAGTCCTCAATAACCTTAAGTGTGTGTGCAGGGGGGATCTTGTTATCATAGCACAAAGCACAATCTTTTTTATATACCATCTAAATCATAATATATAAGTTAAAAAATGCAACATACTTTTTCAGCCGAGTCGTAGTGTTTCATTTTTCATTTTTTTTTTTTTAATTTTCGGCTGAGTTACATCTCCTTGTAGCATTATACTAGTTCAGTTACAGAAAGATATGGTTTATGCATGCAGTGTTAAATTTACTAATTTTTTTATAAAATAATAATATTGAATTTTAAGCAAGTTAAAAAGCTTTTTACACATATTTTACATAAGTATGTTCAGCAGGGTTCCATCATCATAGTATATAAAAACATTCATTTTATTTTTAAATTTTAAATTTCTAGCGAAATTTCCAGTTTTTGCCTTCAGACATACACTATGTTCAAGCAGCCACATCTATAAACGCACATCAAAAGTACACAAAATTAATTTAAACAACAAAAATTAACAGTTGGCATCTACCTGGAAGAAAATGTCTTAGAGGGGCACCGGTATAAAATATATACCAGCTCTCAAAGTTCAGGATTTTGCTCTAGATTTTTTTTTAAGTGTCAACTTTGCGATCTTATGGTCCATAAGTTATAATTCGTGCCAAATTTTACCACAATTTAAATTATTTTATATACTGCCCCTAAAAGGGTTAAGTAATTTTTCATTTGTATGAAAATGTTCCTTCACGAAGTAATTCTTTACAAGAAAGGCTATGTTTCATTAATCTGACATGAAAATCTGCAGTACTCTATAGCAAAACTTAACATGCCATTAAACATATAACATCTACTATAAAGTAAGAAACCATACAGGTAAAGAAAAAAATTATTAAGATGATATGTCAGAAAAACAAAGTCGCTTATTAGTTTCAGAATGAGAAAACCAACTTTCACATAATAGTACAATGCTTAAAAAGTTTAAATTGTAAAACAGTAATTATCTATTCAAATAAATACATTGGCTAAAAAAAGTCATATACATACTGCAACAAATAGGTAAAACAATTGATTCAACTGTTATTACTACAATAAATACAAAAGGAACCTACCATTAACATCCATGGAGACCTCTGAATGTTGCTGTACAATTTCTTTTGTTGATCCATCATGTGAACTCTTTGAGGAAATGGATACAGAGCTTTCACCACTTATGCTTGGAAGACGTTTCTTACTCAACATGGCCACACCCATAGTAGGTTTTAGAGGTGTGCGTGGCGTTTCTGGGGGTGACTTTTCAGAACTTTTATCAGCAACAAGAGGAAGGCTAATAGTAATTTGAGGCTTTATTCTAGCTTCAACATAATACAGAGAACTAGTATATGGAGAAAGACTATTGGAAGCATTACTGTTCAAACTGCTATTACTGCTACTCTTTGAGGAAATATTTCCTTGTTCATGAGATTCACCATGTATGCTTGATTTGCTAGTTGGCAAATCCAAGGAAGTGACAAAATTTTCATTTTGATTTAAATCATGGCAAGGCTTCTTATAATCTAGAATGGGTAACGCAGTAGGAAGATTATCAGTTTGTACACCTGAAGATACAGTAATGACTTTCTTTTGAGCTTTAGGTGAACCAAAAATAGCCCTGACTAACCGTGGGGATCCAAAAAACTTTCTTTCACTTTGTGTAGATGATATTTCTTTTTGCTCTGCCTTCTTTGCTTCTTTTGCTTGCTTTTTGCTATCACTTTGTGTAGATGATATTTCCTTTTGCTCTGCCCTCTTCGCTTCTTTTGCCTGCTTTTTACTTTTAAAAATATTCTTTTTGTCAAGTTTTGGAGAAGTTAGTTTCTTCATAAATTTGGGGGAATTGAAAAATTTGAAACTTGTGTTCTTGGGAGAATTAGCATCAGATGAAACAGCATCCAATGTAAAATTACCATCATGATGACTAGGATGAGAATTTGCTGAATCTGGCAAAATCTGACTCTGTTTATCAAAAGTAATGTCTATGTAAGAATCAGAGTTATTTGCATTGATACTACCAACATTTGCTTGACATGGCTGATCTGTATACCCAAATCCCATGTTTTCAATTCCTTCAGATGAGTCATAAAAATTCGACCCACTATAATGGCTGGAATTTGAAATAGTACTTCTATTTGAACTACCTCTTTCAAACTGCTGCATATATCTATTTTCTGATGCATACATATCAACAGTACAGGGAAAATAATTTTCAGAATTTCCAGGAATGCCTCCAGGAGATATAATTTTTGAGTTTTGTAATGGAAATTCTAAAGCACCTTTATTTGCAACAGAATTTTTATTCTGTACAGACATTGAGCATGCTGAGTCTATAAGATCTCCACTTGGGAAAAATCTCATTTCTCTTCTTCCAGACTCATGCTTATTAAAATTAGCTTGACATGAAGATTTTAGTTGTTGTTGAGACACTTTCTTTCCTTCAAATACTTTGTTGTATTCTTTATCAAGTAAACTAACAAACTTCTCTGGTGGAGATGAAATTTCTCCATGACAATAATATGGAGAACCAGAAGACAATGAAGAGCTGTATGTCAATGGTTCTGTATTATGAGCAATGTTTGAAAGTTTCTTAGATACCTGACTTTCAGACGCACTCCTTTTGCAGTTAGGATGTTGATGTGTTGCAGGCTTCTTAGTATCATCTGACATGGCTTGACATTTTTTGCCTTTATTATCAGCACTGGCATTATTAGATGTTCCTACTTTAGCTAAATAATCAAATGAATCAGAAATTTTTGCCACATATCCAGGTGCTGGAACTCCTTTCTGTAGACTGAATTTTTTGCTTAAGCTTGAAGTCACAGAATTCTTTTGACTTAGATTGCTGTATGAGACAGCCATTCTTGCTACAAGCCCTGGAGTAATTTCTTTAGCAAGTGCTCTCTGCTGCCTTCCAAGCGATGATGTCAGTATGTCATACTCTTCATCGATAGAATTCCACATTTGATGACCATGACTTGCTTTCTTTAAAATGTTTGTCTGATTATATATAGAAGGGACAGAGTTATCGCCAAGACAAGTTTCATGGCTTGCTTTTCCAGTCAAATTACTATGATTGTCCTTTAAATGAGTGTAAGACTCAGTACAGCTGAAAGACCTATTATAAAAAATTTTGTGACTATGGGACTCTACACATCTACTAACAGACTTAGTATATGAATCAGCTACAGGTGTGTAAAGAGAACTAGTATTTGACGGCATACCTTCTTTCATTTCCAAATTACTTACAGCATTCTGATTAATCCAATGCATGAGAGTTTTGTTACTTGCATTACGTTTTATAACTTTAGGAAATGCTGAATGTGATGACTTTTTATTATCAACTGAATGGAAATTTTTTTCTTTCTTTTGAGATTTCTGAGCAAAATCAAATGAATGATCTGAGGCTGATGAAACAGAAGACCATTCATTGGTATCCTCAGAACGTCGCATTACTGTTGGACTACCACTTTCACTGTCTTCAGTCTCACTGTAAAATTTATCTAAATGGGTACAAAAAAAGCATTTTTAATTGTCTGGCAAAATATTATATTATTAAAAATTACCTCAGCATTAATTTTGCATTCTACTTAATTTTCAAGCGTACAACAGATCTAGCAGAAATGCTATCAAAATAACCTTGATTTAAACTTTTAAATCTCAAATTATTTTTAATACAGTTCATTTAATACTTGAACATCAAAAGCAGTATTTTCTTACTGCTTGCCAACTGCTAAGAAATAGTGAGATTTTATAACATAACTAATGAGCATATAACTCAAAACAAAACATATCAAATTATTACATTTTTATTGAACTGAAATAGAACAGATTTTGGATTTGGATCAGGGAAAACAATGAGATAATGTGAAGAAGAGGTTCCACAAAACATCATGTTACTACTAAAGCAAATGCAACTTTGCATAAGACAGGAAAAAGTTCGCAATATCACATACTATGCGCTCCTTAAATTCCAATACAAACTCTGCATTAGTTTGGATGCTTTCTAGGAGACTATTTTAAAAGCTGTCAGGATATTTTTCAATTCTTTCTGAAAAGCCTCTACATGTTTCCTGCACATCTTGAGTTGTTTTACTTTCTAGAAATGCATCTAATTGATATAATTTAAAATTCACACCTTACATTTAGTAACTTGATTGTGTAAACGATAACTTGATTGTATATACGACTGCTTGGATTTTTTACTATATTTTTCTTACGAAAAATAAATAATGAATCAAATTTTTTTACTCATGGACACTTCACTATTAATTAAAGGACACTAAGTGTTCGTTCACCACAATGAAAAACAACACTGCTCTAATCTATCACATTAATTTATGTAGGTCTTTCTGATAAGCAAGTCCTTTCCTTGTTCAAGCTATATGCAACTCAAATTTGCCAGTGATAATGCACGCCTTTGAAATGCACTGGCAGCTAGAGGAAGCAGACAAAAATGGGTCCATTCGGACCTGAAAACCTGTAGAGAGACAAGGCACAAACAGGCTGACTGACAACACAAATGATGCCAAGTCACTGACCACTTTTAAGTCCATCGAGCTTTCCCAATTGGCTATGGCAGCCTCAGAGTGGGAGAAAATATATCAAGAACTAGAAGCTGCACAACTGACCCAGCCAGCCCAGTTCTGGGATCTGTTTGGTCAACTGGTCCCGTGTTTTACAGGGACAGTCCCAAGCATGTTCAACAGAATTGAGGTCTGAAAAATACGCAATATGATGCAGATAATATCTTCTCCAATATCTCAGTCATACTATCTGTTCTCTGTAAATGAGCACAGATATTTACATTTGGACAGCTGGGGCCGATTGCTCCATACAAAAGATTAATGTGACCTAGAAGTATTTCTGCACTTCTTTTCGTCATGATTGGCTCTTTTGCAAAGGTATCTGACATTTTGCATAATCTTTGCTTACACATAAGCATAATAAACTAACTTCTAAAATACACCATTGGTGGCAATGAGCTCCCTGTTAGCAACCACTCAATGTCTAAAATCACTCTCAAGAGTGAACTGGGATTCACGTAAGTATATCACCACTGACCTCTCTTGATGACTTAGTGATGATACATGACCTAGTGATGATACGGATAAAATTTTCATAGCATCAATTTGCTCATTACTTTTACTGTATTTGAGGGACAGCAAGAAAGGGCAATATTCAATTATACCTTAGTAACTGTCAAGCAGTGTAGTTCAAGTATTTAACCCTACCTCACTAAAGCTTCATAAACTCTACAAGTTCATTTGACAGCACTGCATGATTTCCACTCCTTGGTGTAACTAACACATTTTTTAAATACCTGCACATTTATTGATTAATCTGTACAATTTACAATAAGACCATTGTACACTAAAAATGCTTTTTATTAGCAACTAGCGGGCTGAAGCCCGCTTTTAATTGTTTGAGTGTATAAGACTTCCCATGTTAAATTTCCGGCAATTTTAACCGGCTTATTCCTGTATGCATCCAGAAAATACTGCATACACGTTACACATGCGGAAAGTCATGAAAACACCCATTCAGCAAGCCCGTTCCCCGGGATTCGAAAGTTGCACCGAACTACCAGTTTTGAGCAGCTTTGCGCGGGCTGCACCCGCTTTATTCCCCTATTCATCCAGAAGATACATCACACACATTACACATGCAGAAAATCACGAAAACACCCATGCAGCCAGCCCGCTCGCCGGGATTCGAAAGTTGGACCGAACTACCAGTGTTCAGCGGTTTTGCACAGGCTTCGCCCACTTTATTCTCGTCTGCACCCAGAAGATACTGCATAGACAATACACATGCAGAAAATCACGAAATCACCCATACAGCCAGCCCGCTCGCTCGGATTCGAAAGATAGACCGAACCTACCAGTGTTCAGCGGATTTGAGTGGGCTGCACCCGCTTTATTTACGTATCCGTCCATTAGATACTGCATACACGATACACATGCCTAAAATAACAAAACACCCATGCAGCCAGCCCTTTTGCGGGTATTCGAAAGTCAGACTGAACTACCAGAGTTCAGCGCTTTTGCTCGGGCTGCGCCCGCTTTACTCACGTAGGCGTCTAGAAGATTCTGCATACAGGATACACATGTGTAAAATCACAAAAACACCCATGGAGCCAGCCTGTTCATCGGAATTCGCAAAGCTCCACTACGTTAATTTCATCCCTGGCGAATGGCCTTGACGATTCCCACGACCGAACGGAAACCAGCTTTCCCCCCTCAAAACCTTCGATTCCCAACCTGTCCCCAAAGATATGGGAAGGAAAGAAAAAGGAGTATTAGGGCATTTTTAATTACCCTGCTAATTAGGCTCCTAATTCCCAAATCAGCGTGGAATCAACGCCATGAGTCGTTTTATCCTCTCGCGGCTTTAAAATTCAAAATTTCAAAGAAATCGGCCGGTAAGTTCCCGAGTTACCGATTTTTTGTGCATTTTTTTGGGCTCAATTTCTCTAATTAAGAAAAATTCATATCTTGGGAACCAATAGTGCGATCGGCTCCAAATTTAGAAATTTATAACTCATAGATAGTCAAATGAGGGATGCCCTTTATTTTAGATGGATTGGCAAATTAGATGATCAATTAGCATAATGATTAAAAATGCTCCACTACGTTAATTTGGTCCTTCACGAGTCTACGAATCTCCTTGACGATTCCAACCGGAGACCGGATACAGCTGCAACCCCTCAAAACTCGTTTTCTTCGAAAACCAGCCTGTCCACAAAGATATGGGAAGGAAAGAAAAAGGAGTATTAGGGCGTTTTTAATTACCCTGTTAATTAGGCTTCTAATTCGCAAATCAGTGCGGAATCTAGCCATCGGTCGTTTCATCATCTCACGGATTTAAAATTCAAAATTTCAAAGAAATCGGCGGGTAAGTTCCCGAGTTACCGATTTTTTCTGCAATTTTCGGCCTAATTAGCATCTTGGCTAATTAAAGTCGCACAAAGATACAAATAGCCAAAATGGCTAGCCACGGACATTCTGAATCCAACAGTATGCTTCGCTAAGCTCTGCACCCAGCCGTTCCGGAGGAGTTGAGGTTACAAACACACAAACAGAGGCAGACAGATTTTAATAGTTAGCAATTATTTCATTTCATATTCACCCTTGTAATACTGTGTAATACTGTTTTTTTTTTTTTTTTAATGTAGGTAAGAAAGCTACATTTTTCATTAAGGTTAACGCTTTCTAATTGTATATACGTATCTGTTCATTTACATTTATAACATCACAATATTTAAAATATTTTGTTTTTAATACATTTTTTGTATTAAAAAAAGTCTGGTTTAGAGTGTGCAAGAATAGAATTTACCTTACAGGTTTGTACATATTTCTGCATGTGGAAATCAAGCACTCTTAAAGATGTTTGAAGACCATTAACTTTCTGAAGCTGTACAGCAGTTGTACCAGGAAAATAATTTTCTTTAACTCCGGCTGTAGCACAACTGTCATACCAGCCATTCCCTCCCTATTTTAGAGAATCACCTATCTGCAGATCTCTGGGTGGTCCATTGTCGCTGCTCAGAATAGCCGCTGGCTATGCATTATTTCCCTCTTCTTATCAGTTTGGCTACATTTTGGCAAAAACTGCAGGTTTCGTCTCGCGTCAATATACTTGAAAATGAAATAGAGGCCATCTCTAATCTTTTTAGTACTGACTTTTGCTATGATTAAAACATCAGCAATTTTGCATGCTGTTTAAGCTTACCAGATTTAATGCTTTTTAATCATAGCAAATAAGAATAGATTAATTTTTTATATTTAATGCCCTTCTAGAAAATAGTTAAAACTGCTTTTATCATTTACTTCCTTTTTATATTTATGAATAATACGATTTTATTTTGACATTTTTTTGGAGTGCATAAAACCCTTAAGAACTGTTAACTCTTTCAAAGTGCTTCTATTATGTAGGAAATTTTGTCTGATTTATCAGAAGACAAATAAGAGACAATTGTATGCATAATCGTTTTTGTGATTTTCATTCATTCAATGATTTTCATTGATTGTAAATTAAGTAAAATCAATTTATCTTTAGACCCTCTTTTACGATAAGATCTGTCAAAAAGTATTTAAATATCGATAAAGCTCACCTTACTTCTAAATTGAATCAAAACATCAGTTACATTGTATAAAATTTAGGGCAGTTTTATTTGCTGAAATTCTTATACTCTCTCAAGAGATAAAGGGAATTCAGACAAGTTAATGAAAAAAAAATATCTTTAAAAAAAGGTTGTTATTTTGTCTGTAATAAGGTGTATGTCAACTTACTATTAAATGTACGAAGAATTAGGATTGGATTACAGGAAAAAAAGCACGCGAACGCTATCTGCTTAAGTGGATGGATGCTTTCGTGTAAGCCTTTTTAAGAGAAAATTGCTCGCATTTACATTCCTGGTGGAAAACGTCACATGTAATCAACCTGTTCTTCGGGTTTGATTGGATTAATTTTGTTCACTTACTGAATTACATCAAAGCAC